GCGTGCAGGCATGCCCATCCCTGCATGGATTCACAGGGATGTACATATGTAGCGTTACACACACACATTTTTTGTAAGCTCTGCAACTCTAGGCAGTCAGAAAAAATCTTACTTGTCAAAACACTACATCAAAATAAATACAAAAGTGCAGCTTGGAACTCGACTAAAATGCAAAGCCAAGGTTAAGGGAAGCTTTCCCTGTAATTCCACGGAAGGCAGCATTTAGCATCCTTCCTGGGTTGGTCATGTTTCTTTGTACTTTTTCATATACCAAAGGAAATGAATCCTCCAGCAAAGTGCTGGTTACAGCAATGGAACGGTGACATTACAAACTTCAACAACACTGGCTGTGTCACCAGGAGTCCCTTAAAAGGAAAAGGGAAAGAGTTCTATTTTACTAGCTCTCAAATTCACCTTTTTAATAATCAAAAAAATGATGATGTCATTCCATGGACAGCACGAAGAAGTTTCAAGATTTCACTGAAAAAATTTTATTGCTTGAGTTCTCTTCTATACCTCACCATCATCAAATCCAAGACCCCATCCCATCTATGTTAATTCTATCTCCCCAAAGCTTCTCATAGCACCCTGACTGTTCAGATATCTCAACCACCAGGAATTGAATAATGACACTGCAGCAAAATCTTACTTAATCTTGTTTCGTTGAGCTTCTCCCATTTCACTTAAGTTCGAGTTTCAAGCAAGTAATAGAAATATTATGTGTTCCCCATACAACTTCCATGCCTCCTCAGATAGCAGCATATAAGCCACTGTATCCCCTTCTACATGATTGAAATGATAAAGCTTTTTGTCATGATGATCTTAGTATCAAGAAGGCTTTCCTATTTTCATCTTTATTGCATTTTCCAACTTTTCTACATTGCTGCACTGCATTACTGCCTATATAAGAAAATGTTACCCTAAAAATAAATTAAATGTAACTTGCAATCTTAAGAAGATATTTTGCTAAAGAAATACAAACTCTTCAGAAATTTAAGAAAATCCCAATATCCCTCAGGAGCCAGTGTCAAAAGGGAAATGCTAATATGTCCTGGCACTTTTAAAATAGCCGATATTGAACGTGCAATTGTTTCACTTTATTTTTAGAACACTTAAGTCAGCACACGTGCAATGAATTACCATGCTGTTCACACGAAGACATAAATTAGGAATTACTCCTGATTGATCAATTATCGTGATTTATATGGCCTTAGGAAGTGGCAGCTCTTACTCAATCCAGATTCACAGGGTCACTAATTTCAAAAAGAAGACTAAACCAAATTAGAATGGCCTATTCACAACTGTAATTTCAGGTTTATGAAACTCTGCCATACAGCCCATCACGAAGCACTGGCTGGCTGGAAGGCCTCTCCAGCCCCACCTCTAAAGACCTACAGGAAACAACACAGCGTAACTAATCACTCCTGGTGAGCATTTGTTCTGGGACTAAGTTTACAGTATTCAGACACATGCAATATTTTATCGTGGCAACTTTCCAAATGAAGTAATACTTTATACATTTTGCAAAAGAGATAGGAAGCTTGTCCAAGGTTACGAAGCTAACAATGGTAGAACTAGACTTCAAAAGCTGATCTGATACCAGAGTCCATGGAGCTTTCTACACTAAATGCCCTTCTAAATAACCAGTGTCATTATCTTCCTCCATGCATACGTCTCACATGTAAACTTCCCAGAGCCAGGGCACTCATACTAACTCCCTACATATCCTGACCTACCTTGTAGTACTCAATACACATCCAGCAAGTGAACACGAAGTTGCTATGGTGGCTTTGCCACTGTTCTCATATGAATTCATGAAGGTGTTGAATCTATAACCTTGGGAGCACTCTATGTAATTCATGTCTGCTTATTTTTAAATCAACACCTAACCATGTTTAGATACAGTTTGGAGATATCTAGCTAATGAATTCTGAAGTTGAAGTGTCTGGAAATACATTTCCTAGCAAAGATCATTCTATGAACAGAACAAAAACTCCCCTGATTAGTGATTGCTTTGATTTTGTCCTACCCGAGTTCCTCCAAATATTAAAATACAAAAAGTAAACATTCTGCTAATTTTTAAAAGTTGCCTGGAATTTTTCTTTGGAGAGCTGTGGAGTTTGCTATGAACCCAAACTCTCTCAAGGCTTTGGGCTTTCCTGACTCCTTAGAGCTGTCAAAAGACCTCCTAAGAAAAGCAGGAAAAAAAAGGAAGTGATGAAAAGACAGAAAGAAGAGAATCAAAACAGCCAGAAAGGCAGCAGGGAGCACCACCTCTCAGAAGGGGTGGGCCCCAGGCTAAGCACAGTTCATGACTACCAAAACAGACAAAGGCAGGGGAAGTCAGAGGTCTCCATGGAGTGGCACTCAGTGTGGCAGACTAACTCTATGCCAGCTGCCTCACACCAGCAGATCCCGCGGAATCATTAATCCTCATTAGGAGAAATCACGAGGCACTCAGCTCAAGTCTGCCCAGGGAAAGTGGCATAATTGCAAATGAGTGCTCATAGCTGCCATTCTATCCTGGTGTCTTCTAATTCCAGTTCCCAGGAACAATGCTGATTGTCAACACTTTTTCCTCACACCCCGGAACCCTAACACCCTATTCCATAGGCACTGTGCTTAGTGTTAGTTTTCATAACTACATCTATCTACTGCTTTAAAGGATTTCCCCCAAAACTTGTTTTACATACACTTAACATTTTGTCATGTAAGTCACACCATCCCAAACACACTTACCAGATTCCATAAAAATACATCTATACATCTGTCTCTTTCTGTCTTATTGCAACAGACGGAAGGACAAAAACTTACCTTTTTAACAAACAGGTAAGGATTGTTGCTCTGTGAGCACCAATATTTAAAGCTAACTATACAGATCTCATGTGGAAAGATGTCTTCATATAAAAGGCATTTTATCTGGGATGTTGTCAAGGGTTTGCTGTGTTGTTTTGCTGTCCTCAGGACATTACCCAAGATTTAATACTTGACCTAGTCTTCACTTGAAATATGTAATGGGGACACAGTTACTTCTGATTTAAAATCACATGTTGATTTTAAGATGATTTGTGATCTAACTAACTCTTTTTCAAAGATGACTGTGAGATAGAGTCAAAACTTCAGGGCAGTCAGCATTCCCATTACAGTACACAGCCTCAGCAGGAAGTAAACTGATCACGGGGCACAGGACAGGAGAGCGATCTGCCCAAGGCAAACAACAGACTGAGGAGTTTGAGAGGAGACAGATGCCACACCTGGTGCCAGTGCTCTGCGCTGTACAAACGAGAATGATTTTTTCTTTTTTTTTTTTAATGTGGTGCTAGGGATTGAAACCAGGGCCTTGTGAAGGCTCAGCAAGTGCTCTATCCCTAAGCCACATCCAAACCCCATGTTGTGTAATTTTTAAAAGGAAATCTACAAGCAAGAGTCAGCTGTGTGGTATTTAAAATTCAAAAGAAACTGCTAACTTACCTTTTCTCTTTTCTGCATTATAAAAAAGAAAATACTCCCTTTGGAGAACTCTAAGGATAGTTACAGAAATGTGATTGTAAATATTTAAAGTCCCCCTTAATTCCATCATACAAAATAACTGTAATAACTATAAAATGTTTATAAACTCAGACTATTTTTCCTATACAGAAGTTAATATATATAAATGTCTTAAAATAAACAATATTTGGATTATATGACCAATTTTCCATTTAATTTTTATGTTGATCTGATTGATATGGAGTGGCGGATGTTACAAAGATGTCCATTTGGAAGTCTGGTTTTGATAGCAAAATAATAAAATAAAACAATAGTAAAAAATAACAAAGCCCATTCAGCAGTACAATGAGCTATGTGCAGTCATCAGAAAGAGATTAATACTTGAGGTTTTTTTTTACAAGGCAATCATGGAGTAAGGAGGGAATATTTAGTCTTAAATGGTCATGTTGTTAATTCTGGAAAGCATGTCTTCCTGAAATAGTTCTAGGTGTTCTCAACGCTCCAATGGCAGCACCACATTCTTACTGAAATTCATAAAAACAAAACAGGCTTCGGAAAGACTCTTGCTATCTTTTTGTATCCCATACCAAAATTTTACTTTAAAATAACAACTCTTCACATTTCTCAAAAATCCCTTGACCACCATTATCTCATTGATTCACCTAGAAAGCCTGATAGGTAGGAAAGACCAATAGGAAACACTCTTCCCATTTTAGAGATGAAGAAATCGAGGCTCAACATTCAGGATACCAGGACCACAGTATGAATTTCTGGGTAGCGATTTCAGTCTGCATCTCCTGATGGAATGCACAGGACTGTTCTCACCCCAACACGGTCCTTCTAAGGCTAAGGTCAGCCACATTTTAGAGAAACATTACAGAATCTTGTTGGAGTCCTCTGTTGCTGCAGTGTCAGGTGTTATGATAAAGTGAAAGCAATAAAGGTGGTGAAAAACAGTGCAGGAGGAAATACTGTGCAGGTGTCCAGTTTATTTTGCATTTGAAGACCAAAAAGATGGACTGGTTCATTAGTGTTGAGTACACAACTACAACAAGGAGAAGAGACTCCTTACTTCCAGATGACAGTGCAACAGTTCCAAAAATGTCATTTAAGTGAGTCCACCAGAGATTGCATATACTGTACACAGCCAAAATGTAACCCCTCCTCCCTTAGGCCCATGTAAACATCACTAAACAGTCACCATACTCATCGCCACTCAGTCCAGTCATGGTTGATTCACTGTCAACCAAACAAATCTGGTGAAATAAGGAGTCAGAGCCCTCTACTAACAACTGGTCTCCAGAATCTGCTTATTTTGCAGCTGGCAAAGGCTCTTCTCAACACAGCTCCAATTATACCAAGACTCTCTCATCAAAACAAAATCATTGGGTAACTAAGGAAACATTTCAAATTAACAAGAGTAAGTTTTACTTATTTTGTATGTTTCCTTCCTTTTGATTGAGATGGGATCTTAATATGAAGCTCAGGCTGTCCTTGAACTAATTATCCTCCTGCTTCAGCCAGCTGAGTGCTGGGATTACAGGCCTGAACCACCATACTGGCTAGTGGCTAGCTTTTTACCTTTTTTTTGTTTGGTTTTTTCTTAACCGTCACTGAATTCATCATACTCCTCTGTTGAATGCAATATGGTCAATAGGGATCAGTTACTGTGGTTGAGAACAGGTATAACATTACCCAAAAAAATGGATTATGCATACTTGCGTCTGTTTGGGAATAACAAGTTTCCTGTAGGTAGTTACACAAAAATTACAGAGCTTTCCTTACTCCTCTAATGAAAAGTATAATAAAAAAATCCCTTTGGTGAACAGAATTATTTTTCTCTAAAATCAAATTAAAAAATAAAATGAAAGCGTTTTAAATAATTTTCACCAGAGTTTTAGTTCTCTGGTAATATCTAAGCAAAGATTGGAGTTTTGATTCAAAGGAAAAAAGCACACTGATCACTATTTCCAAAGGTACTCTTCTAGGAATTACAAATCTAGAAAGAGGAAGAATAACATAACCATGTGGACTTGGACTAGAACTGGGGTTATTGATATAGGAATAGTTTTCAAAGCATGTATAAGGATGGATGCAGAAATAGAGAGGTTGAGTCACTGGTGTGTGTAAGTGCTTTGATGAGTACACATTTACATTTTGCTAAGGGAGCCTGGAAGCAATGGAGCCCCAATCATAAGAGTACCCTAGCACCTGTTTTTCTGTTTATCTAGTAAATGGAGCTACAGTTACCTGGAAAAAATGCTCGATTCCAGAAGAGGGGCAAAGAAAGTAGAAGATGAATGTAAAACATCTTTGTTGCAACAAAAAGTAGGAAAATGCTCAAAATGGGAACATGTTGAAATGACAGAGGTCAAAAGTTTAAAAGGTGTTGTCTGGAGTAGACTTTTGTGTCCACAGAGAAAGGTATTATATTTGTGAAGAAACTGGCTTTAGTTTGGCTCACCAGCACTTTGGGCACTGGAAAGATTCTCCCAAAGTTCTCAAACTGTTCAAAAGAGTAAGACACAGCTCCTTTACAAAGCCTGCAGGTGTTAAAGTATAAGTAAGAGTCGTGCTGTCTTTAACAGCCAGCTCAGAAGGTAGGCTTCAAGGCAGGAAACTAAAACCACTGTGGTCGTGATGGTTTAAAATGAGGGCTAAACGATACTAGAGAGGAACTTACATTTAGTTTTCTTAACAGGAACTGAGTATATGCAATCCAAGGTAGGGTCAGAAGTTGTAAAAAAAAAAACAAAAACAGCCTAGGGTTAGCTGTGAATATGGGGGGTACAGGGGCAATACAAAAAATCAGGAACACTGAATAAGTGAGAACTTGCTGCGTACCAGATGTGAGATGGGATGACATTCTGTCCACCCAGACCCACAGTAAATGAAGACACAAATACCAGTGGATATCCTGGACTCCTACAGCCACACAGGTTTAGGAGGGCACTTAACCTAACAGGCCCCAACACCACAGCTCCAGGACAGGCTAGCTCATGCTTTCATATCAGGCCTTGGGAACACCCAGGCAGGGACTTCCATGATGGCTGTCACTTAGGCAGTCCAGGAAGAGAGGGGTGTTGACAACTCTGTTCCTAAGCAGCTCAGATTCCATCTCCTGGATCTGCAATAGTACAAATCTATACCATTCTCAATGGTGCCTCATCACTGCCCAGTGGACATTTTATAAGTCTCTGGGAGCATTTCTCTCCCTCATCCAGGATAACAGAAGTCCTAAAATGCAGAGTCTGATGCAGAAGAATTACTCTGCTTTCAGCACAACCTCCACCTATCCCACCAGGTATTCATGAAGCTAAAACAACCTTTTCATACCCACACATAAGACTCTCACTCCATTTTATATATAAACACAAAGGATTTTTTTGGAGTTTAAATAGATTACATATCCATGTTCAAAACAAATTTGTTCATATCATCCAAGGTGGGGGAAATCCAAAAGTCCATCAGTAACTGAATGGATAAACAAAATGTAGTACACATACAGACAACAGAATATTACTCAGCCCTGAAGAGGAAGGTAATTAGAACATGGGTTGTTACTGCATGTATGTACCTTGATGACAAAATGCTAAGTGAAACCAGCCAGTCACAAAACAGTCATTACTGTACGATTCTATTCATAAATCAAATTTATACAGACAGGAAATAGAATGGTGGTTTCTAGAATGCTGTGAAGTGGGCAAGGTTAATATTCAATGGATGCAGAGCTTCAAGTGCAGAGGATGAGAAAGTTCTGGAGATGGATGGTGGTGTTGGTTACACAACATTGAATGTACTTCGTGACACACACACACACACACACACACACACATTTCCAGGAATGCAACTCCTATAAAAGTCAAGGAAGATGGCACTTTGTTGCACTGGAATTTGACCGTGACCTGTTCACTGCTATGGAAACTTGTGATGTGGAAACAATGCCCTGGGCTACCAGCACCACTTCTGATTCCCTGCAAGTGGCCACACAGAGGCACAATCATCTCACAGCATCCACATGTCTCTTAAAGTCACTGTGCCCAAGTACTTAGGCACCAACACACACACTTTACTACAAATTATCTTCCTTTTATTTTCCTATTGTAGTCTATAACTTCACAATTCTGCAGGTATATATGTGCACATATTTTGGTGAGTTCCATTTTATGACAGTATTGGTGACATTTCAAAATACTTATTGTAAAAAACAGAGAGTGTCAAGGGATAGTCGGTCAAGCTCTGATGTGGCTGAGGACACTGTTCTGGTTTCAGAAAACAGACCCCAGGCAGATCACAGTCACTCTGCAACAGGACAATACTCAAGCTGTCTCTCTGGATTTAATCAGGCACCCTTTTGCAAGAAATAAAGTTCTGATGGTGAAGATCTGGTGGTAATTTGCTCACTCCCTTAAAAAGGGAGGTACTTGGTGCAAAACCGGAAAGCCTCTGACTTTTCCCAGTGATGAAACACACACACACACACACACATGCATGCACACACGCACACACATAAAGTAATCAAATTCATGCCCCCTGGTAATAAACTCCAACACAGCTGAGGTGAACCAGAGAACGTATTTCCAGTCACGGGAATCATGGTATCATGTCAAAAAAGATTAGAATTTGACTGAGAAGGGCACGGTGTGTCAATTGTAATTACACATGTATCCTTTCTCTATTGTGATCATCCTCCTTTCCATCTCAACACTGGGACATGATTAATATTTTACATAGTGTCCAAAAGGGGAATGTGACTTACCAGAAACCGTACTGAACATTTCAAATACAGACCATCCTCTGCCAAGAGAAAATCCTGCCCAGCTGTAGATTTCTCATTTGCAAAACATAAGAGCAATGAAATTCCATTACTTAGAGAAACTGGCTGTTCCACCAAACCCTTGGCAACAGAGGCTGTACTTATCTTTTTTGAACAATAGTCTCAGAAAATGTATTCACTCTCAAAAAAACAGACAGCAAGTAATGCATTTGATTCTTAGGAAATGGCTCTTGCCCAAAAAAATTCCTCTTAGGGAAAATCCACTCTCCTGACCTGGGAACTACAAAGATTGATCCTAAGGCACAAGGCAAGAAGAACTCCACTTTTAAGGACCCCTCTGAAGGTCAAAGGGGATGTGGCACTATTAATATGGTCCATATGACAAAATGAAGTATCTGTTTCATATGTAAGTGACCACACTGCCTGCTCCTTCAGAGGAATGGTTCTTATGCCTTAACTCATTCACTTTCAGTTCCCTGTGAGATTTAACTGTGTATTTTCCTGCAAATGTAAATGACTGTATTGCACACTGCACAGTTCATCCACACGAGACTGGAAAATTGAGACTTTGTTCTCTGTCTTCTTGACGCTGTTTTCCCCAGGAGGAGCGTCTGGCCTCATGCCAGTGAGTGATGTGAACTTTGCTTATGGTTTAGCTCATGGTAAGCTCCCACTTGGGCCAAAGTTTCAAAGTGGGTCATGAAAATACTCAGGAAATACAGACGCTTCACAAATGTGTCTGGAACAACAAACACCCACTGGTATCAGGGCTGTTTTTCTGGTTTCTTATTGAATGCACTGTATTATGGAGATGGTCCATGAGTGAGTTTAACAGGATCTATGATATCATCTTGGAGGCTCATATTTATAGCACAGCCAACAATTTAGCCCACGGATGTACCCATTAAATCAGACTGGGAAAAAATAGTTTTGTATATCAAACTTTGCAAAAAGAGCCCATGTAAAGAGGCAAAACCCAATTCACTCCCTTTTAGGCACTCAAACCATGCCAGAACATTACGTAACCCTATTCCAAAGTGCCCCAAGGTAGGGCTGAGAGAGCTACTCCCTTCAGCACCAATCTATACGCCTTCTGTAGGAAAGTTTGAAGGCATGAATGCATGAAGAACTGGAAGTGAAAAGGGAGATGATGATAGAGTGAATCCTACCACCAACCTCGGGCCTGCATTCCTCTGGATGAGCAAGTCATACAACAGGCAAATAGCAAAGAGGTCAGACAAAACAGACAGCAGTGCCTGTGTAGAAATATATGATCTGTGAGCTCTGAGGACATAAGAATGACTCCAAGGCTGACACAATTGTACCCTGGTAACCCATATAAACAGTCGCAATTTGTACAACAGGGACTGTTCATCTGGTTCTAACTAACATACAACCCTCCAGTGTTTTTGCACAAAGCTGTAACTGAAGCATACAAAACAGATGCAAGTCTGCATGAAAGAAGCCAAATCGTGAACATGCCACTCATAATCCAGCTTCTCTACATTTAACAAAAACTCAACACCAAGGCAATCAACACTCAATCTTGTCCCACACGATTGGAGAAGTGTGCCTCCTGCCCAGCCATCCACCACTTAAGACCTCCCTCCCCAACCAAACAGTTTGCTGTGAGCCAGACGAAGGCGGGATGGCATTCGGCCTATTCAAAGACACTGGCCAGTGTTCACATACCTCAATAATCCTGTCATGAATTTGCAGGCCTCCTTCTTTGGCTGCAGGCCCACTGTCAACTATTTTGGATACAAAGATTCCTTCACTGGACGATCCATCTTGATTGTCCTTTGGGTTAAAAAAACACAGACATGAATGCTAAGCATGAAGTTGGGGATGGAAAAAAAACTTACACTCTCAAAACAGTCATTGACCCTTGCTTGTCAAAAGTGGCAACAGGCTAAAAGCTGTTTGTTTCTGCTAATTTCTGTTTCAGACTAGAGTTAACACACATCCTCATGGTCAAATACTTCACACCTGAGCCAAAGTCAGAAAATACTAAGTGCCTGCTATTCTTAACCCATCATTCTTACTCCCCTGTACAGCATCTATTTGAGTTTATGTGTCCTCTCAAAAATATTTTAGTTTATCACTTTTCTGAATATGTGACATATGTGGGATTGTGCCAAGGCTTCTCCATTGCCCTTGGCTCTCACTTAACTACAGAAACTGTGGAGATTTTCTATCACCAATTACACAGGTCTTCCTTCCCTCCTCCCTTCCTTCTGTCTGTCCATCCATCCTTTCCTTTCTTCCTTCATTATCTGGTAGTGCTGGGGACTGAACTGAGCTGCTCCACCCAATGCTACCCCACTTCTTGAAGTGTGCTACCATATGGAGAATGAGCACTGTTTCCTGTTGTTGCCATTCTAATGGCAATGGTGTGACAGGTAACAGCCTCCTGCCTAGATTTTGAAATGTCTTTGCTAGTGTACACCTAGGGAAAATCCCTAGCAATTACAGCTGTTGGGTCAAAGATGTGCAATGATAAATAGTGCTGAATTATTGTTCCATATCCTCACTGCACAGAGTATTATTAAGCTTGCCAGTATCAGAGTATCATTAAGCTTTTGCTCTGATATGCATCAGAAAAGCTTACCACCACCATTCCAACCCTAATAAATTTTGATCTGCAACTTCCTCATATCTCTTTAAAGATCTTTGAATTAAACCTCAGGACTGAAACTTTCTGAGAAAGAAGAAAGCTCACTGCTTAAACTCCCTCCCTTCCTTAAAATCAAAAGGCTCTAACGCACTCATAAAAACCCTCCCAGCTTCTTTCCAAACAGCACTGTGATGAACCCTCTCCAAGTTTTGGATTAAATCTCCAGTGATTAACAGATGGATTTTTAAATTAAATAGCACAAGCATGTGTTGTTTCCAAACAAAGTCATTTGAAAAGTAAGCTCAGGATATTCCACCAAAACTCCAAAATCTATCATCAGTGTAAATTCCTTCCCATAATGCCATATGAAGATCTATTTTAACAATACTTACACTGCATATAAATGTGTAGAAATACCACTGTCAAAAATAACTATGAAAATCTAACATTTTCCTCTTTAAACAGCAACCGCCCCCCCATAATGTAGAGGGTAAGGCTGACTTTGAAAGTGGTCCAATCTAACCCTGCAAATGCAGCAACAGTAACTAAGGTGGAGAAAATGCATCCTTCTGTCCTCTCCCTCTCTTCCCTTCCTTGCATCGCCATCCATTTCTCTCTCTCTCTCTCTCTTTCTCTCTATGTGTCTATACATATGTATGTACATAATATATATATGTACATATATATACACACATATATATGTATGTACATAATATATATATATATATATATATTTACACGATTCATCAGAGGAAACCCAAATCACAACCTAAAATGAACATTAAGTGCTTTTCCCAACATTTATCCCCACATGACAAAGATGTGCCTCTTACTGCCATCTGGATTCCATCAACAGTCTTCCAAGAGAGAGGTCAGGGGTGCTGTGGGTGCTGTGCTAGCTCAGCTATCCTCAAAAGACATCCCTGCCTAGCATCACAGAGCTCTGCACCAGCTTCCTGAGCACTAACCCTGCCTCTGGCTGGGTATCTGTGTACCTCCTTTCTCTCTCACAGCACCTTTATTCACACACTAGTCCCAACACACCTGGATACTTCCCTACAGGCACACCTCAAATTTAAGTACAAAGTGGTACAACAGTGTCTATTTACTGAGAACACACTAGGCATCAGGTACATAGTGAGTGTTCTATGTGTATTGTTCAATCATCACAATAACCACAAGCAGTAAGTTCTATCATTATCCATCCCATGGATAAAAGAACCTGCAACTCAGAGAGAATAAGTTAAGGCCACACAACTAAGAAGTGGCCTATCTTGGTTTCATATCAAAGCTAGAGCAATTCTTTTGCACATGCTCTGTCTTTCCCAACAGGAAAACTCCAAACACACGAATTCTGAAGACCAACATTTCAGCCTACACAATATTCCAAAAGAGAAACTTGTAGAGTCTCATTAGATCACAGATGATTTAGGAGCAACTTTGAGCTTCCTAAGAGATGATACGAATGTCAAATTTAAAAATAAAAATCTGTACTTCTTTTGATTTAACTACTTTGTATTTCTTGGCTGCAAAGGATGAGAGAGACAGGGAATGAGATTTTGGCTTTGGTTTATTTTACAAAATAGTATACTATATATAAGTAATTATTCTAAGACAGTGCTAGAAAGTTCCATGAAATATCAGAAAGGAGCAAGTAAAACCAAAAACTAGAATTTAGGTAAAGACAGTAGTGAGGAGGAGTGAGGACAGAAAACAGGATGCATGAAAATCAAAATACCAAATCACACCCATTTTTGAAAGCTAGATTTTTCTTTGAGAAGACATCTCTTTATTCTTAGTTTGTTTGGCTATTCTCCGAACACATTCTAAGTCAAAGCGATTTATCAAGGTGAACTAACATGACGGGATTTATTTTGTTTTGCTGGCTTGAGTAAAAAAAAAAAAAAAAAAGAAAGAGATTGTTTCATCCCAGGGGTACCTGGCATTAAAGTATACTTCCTGCAGGCTTAAGTGAAACATCTGATGTACACTGGCCATTGCTTCTTTAGGGTCATGAGAAACTAACAAATGAATGATGTGGGTTTGTTGAGAGCATTCCATACCGCATCATGCAATGACAAACCTTTTATCAGAACCCTGGGCTGGACTATTTCACCACACATCCAAGCATCTAACAGGACTTCTTGGGAAATGCACACATCATTTGTTTTGCATTCGACTTCCAGTACTAACAGTGCTGCATGTGCATTGTTGCTCATCTTGGCTTTTTTACTATGTATTCAACGACCTGCCAGATTTTCCAGGCAATAGTGTAGAATGCATTTAGATTTCAATATGCTATTTATGCTAATCAGAACAAGTTTAAAAAAAAAAACACTATGGCAGATACATCCAAGAGGAATTAAATTTTCCCCTGGAGGACATGCATGCAGTTCTTCCAAAAAAGACCACATCAACTGAGAACACGTAACAAAGCAACAAAAATCAGGTCTGGCTTGTACTTAAGTCCTTTTTTAAAAAAAAAAAAGGAAAATGAGAAGCAGAAATGCGCTCTTTGCTATGCACAAGTAAGAAATGTATTCCCAGTAAGGCTGGACCTGGCACTTCACCCCTGGTGAGGTAGAGAAACTACCTCACTGGCCCTGACATAATAGGTTCTCAACAACCACAAACCAGAGGCATGCCTTTCCACTTCCGTGTTTTACAAACACTGGGTTTTGATGTGGTTGGACCTGAGGCAGGGAATACACCTTTTCCTAGTTCAGCTATAGAAGCCTCTAAACCATTATTAAGCGAGGTGGTTCTTAGGTTTATTAAAGTTGTTTCTTAAAACTGGTAACAATAGGTGGATCGAGGAGGAGATAATTATGAAGATAAGTCAAGGAGAACCCAACGCTACTTTCTGTGCTAAGGAGCGAAAGTGTTTTCTGTAAGAACTTAAGAGGCCAAGTCCCATTCTGGTGTTTCCTGGGTCAACTGCTTGTGTACTTGAGTTCCAGTGGTTCTCTCCTCCCCTCCTAAAGCTGAGGCACTCTCAAGGACCAGATCCAAACAGCATGAGGACAGGAAGCCTGGGATCTTAATAACTGGTGTGGTGTAGAAGTAAAAATATGCCATCCTCACATGTTCTACCATTTCTTAGACATTCCAAGAGAAAATGGGACAAACACAAATATGTGAGCTCATCCCTTTGGTCTGGCAAAGTGGGAACAATAGCTGCTCTCATCACCTTCATAGTTACGGTCTACTGTCTTCACTTAAAACGCTGTACAGGACATGTAGTGGTCATCATTAACAACTACCTATCACTTATAACTAAGCTGTTATTTTTATAATTAAACTTTTTGGTCTGGTCTTTTCACTATGGCTTTAGCCAAAAGCTAAGAGAATTTAATCATAAATCTCTTCACATCACTCCCTTTGAGAAAGCCACTTTTTTAATCCATTAACTATGGAGCTAATGCAAACCCCAGACTCTAGGACTGAGTAGGGTCTTTTGGGATCAAACCCGTTTCCTTCTCCTGGCTTCTGTCTGACCAACCACTTCCCTACTCACAGACAACTCTAATCCTATTCTACTTGTAGCTTCCATCACTCCACCTTCTGTCCCCTCCCCAGGCTTGCAGGAACTGCCAAATCTCTCACTTTGGGGCCCATCCATTGTTTTGTAGCTCAGTGATCTTCAAAAAGGTTCACAAAAATGCTTATAATGTGATGGGTGATGAAAGAACATATTCAAAGTTTAATTTCATTTAAAAAAATTCTCCATTTTGCATGAAGGCACACAACATTAGTTCAATGGTGAATATACACATGTAGATATTTTATAGCTAATTAAATATGCTCATTTTCACAATTAAGCATACTCAACTATATGTACTTCTATGTACATATTTAAGCTTATGTGTATAGCAAAAGAATAAAGCAAGGGATGACATACATTCAGATTTTCCCCCATGAAAGGGAGCAAAAGGACTGGGCTCAAGTAGTAGAGGACTTGCTCAAGTGGTAAAGGACTTGCCTGGCCAGCAGGAGGCCCAGCATTCAAACCCTAGTACAGGAAGAAAGGAAGGAGAAAGGAAAGGAAAGGAAGGCTGGCTGAAACACATCCCTTGCTACTCCTCAGAGCACTTTCTGCATTTTCCTCAAAGCTAAATTGACAGATGGGAATTTGGCCTCTTCCTTCTAGTGGAAGGGATGGCCAAATAGCTGCAGTGGTAGGAAAGGTGAAGGCATGCAACAACCCACAGATGCAGGCATTGCCCCTGAGTAATGATGACGTGACAGAACAGAACTCAAGGTCAGACTTCTAGTCTGGGAGCCCATACTCCAGCTCAGTTTAGGAGGTGACCGTTTACCCGTTTCCATTTGCACACATCTCACACAATTTCTTTCAACCACCAGCAATGCACCCCAAAAAGCTAACGGTTTGAATGAGCTGTTGTATTACTAGGACAATGCTATTTTAGGAGACCACAACAAAATAAATATCCCTGCCTGTGAGGATACTAGATAAACAACGAACTCTCTAATTGCAGAGAGCAGAATGAAGTAAGGAAGGTTTCCAATCCTTACCCCCTTCTAGCCAACCCAGGGAAAGGAAAGACACGTTTTAGCAATTAACATACCACACAGGGCCGGCCACCAATAATATTGAATCCCAGGGAGCCGGAGTCCCGATGCAAGACGAGAGTCAGACTTTTGGTTTCTTCACCCTGCAGGGAACAAATGAGTTCAAGTGTTTATTTACAAACAGGAAATCAATGGTAGGAATTTTCTATCTAAGTGGGCTTGGGACTACTCAGCTAATCATTTTATAAATCCTTTATCTCTTGGGAAGTGTTTAAACTTTTGGAACCCAATCAGAAATTCCGTCCTGCCTCGAGGAGATTGCAAACATGTCTAGATACCATCTAACCCTGAGTTGACCACATAAGAATTGTCTGAAGAGTCCAGACTTGCCTCATGAACATTTCCTATCAATGACTCCGTGGTCTGCCAATGCAGCTTGCTTTTCACTGGCCCATTGGACGCCAGCTGTCTAGACGGCTACTTTCTACTTATTTCTCGACTATTCTCAAGGCAGCATTCATTTCATGTCACGACAGGGTCAAATGGCAATCCTGTCAGAAGTGTGAGTGCATGCATGGTCCTCAATAGCCATCTCTGTTTGGTGACTTGGGGTTGGGTATGTGTGTGGGGGAACAGCACAGGCTAAGTCAGATGCTAACGTAGAGGGAAACAGACAGTCCTGAATGGTAAAAGGGGGGGGTGATTTTCACAAAGTCATTACTGTCCAGTCCACACAAAATGTAAAGCAGCTGAACACAGATCATTCTGTGGAAGGTGGTCAGTGGGAAAATCTTTAAATCAAACAAGCACAAGTCACCCAGGCAGGTCACACAGACGTGACAGAGATGCCAGGGCACCTCAACCAATGCTCTCAAGTAACAGAGGAATAAAAATAGACCTAAGCTTATACACAAAGTGTCACTTGGCGTCCTCTCAACATTAAACTCACTAATGTACCTCTGAAATGTTTCCACTCATACGAATGATATGCAAAACTTCTGTTTGCTTCACTTATGTTTTTCTGTTTAATCATGGCGTTATTTAAATGCATTTTTGGAACTATGTAATATTTCATAATAAGCTATCTAAAAAACAACACTGGCAGTTTAATTAGAAAAGATTCTATTCTGATAATTACCGCTTCCTAATCAAATGTTTGTTCTACCTTTTCTGGGGGCAACAATGACAACATTTGAGCCACTGGAAAACAATGACCTCAGGCTAGACCTGTGCCTGACATTGCTCTTCTCTCCAAAAGATTATTAAAGACCAGTGGAACTCCCAAAATAGAATTAGCTCCACGTTCAAAGTTCTTGGTAATTACAGTTCGGCTCATTCTCATGACTGCTTGGTATATAGCTGAACTGAAAATACTTTCAAAATTTTTATGTGAACTTAAGCTTTAATTATAAATCTTTCTAAAGACAAAAATGGGAATTTGGTATTAGAAAAAGACATTCAATTTCTGGTGAAAGAAGTGAGTGTTCTGTAAAAACACAACATTTTGCTTCAGAAGGGTCACTTACTCAATAGACAAAATACAGAATTTTAACATAAAAGAAAAACCTCTTTAGTGACAGAATCTCTTCAATGATAGCCTGTTTCATTAGTTGTTAACAAAACATTAAGCAACACCACCATCCACAGCATCAACCAATGATATCAATCTTTGTAACTAATTTACAAATCACCGATATATCAGAATAAAAATTTAGAATCAATGTAAATGTTCTGAGACGTGATCATTATCAAATGGAAAGAGTTTGTACCATTCTGTATTGACACTGGAAATCTTACTGAGGCCAATGCTTTGCTATTTTACAGGGGTGAAAAAGTTAGAAATACATGGGAATCTGAGCAAGTTATCTTACATGCCTGGCTTTCATAACTAATCAATGATAGAAACTGCACAGTTACACATAATCCAAGGCAGATGGCTTTAGTCTGATAATCTCAAATGCTGTGCAAAGAAGAACATACCATCAAATGATCACAAAGATTAGTTTTATGTCTACTGTGTGATAACCAGTTAAGAAAGACGGGAATGAAGAAAGAAGGGAGGGAGGAAGGAGGAAGGGAAGAAAAGAAATAAGGAAAGAAGGAGGGAAGGAAAGAAGAACGGAGTGCAAAGAAAAGAATCCTACTATACTGCATTGCTGATGGTAATAGCTACATTTACTAGCTGCTTTTCATGTGCCAGAAACTATATTGAACACTTAAGTACTTTACTTCACTTACTAATCCAACCAATCTTATAAACAGACACTGTTGCCATCCTCTTGATTGAGGTAGAAGACTGGAAAGTTGTCCCCCATGAAAGAGCTAGTAGAAAGAAGATCAAGCTGGTATTTAACTCCATGTCTTTCAATTCTAGACCTTCATTATTCTTCCATACTACTCTCAGTGCAGAATGTGGAAGAACATTACACGTAGGCTAGTAACATCCCAGAGGGTTCACTGTTAAAGTTCCAGAAAGGAATTCATTTACAAGAGGGCTTACCCAAGAGATCAATGTCAGTACAAAATTCCAAGCTGTTTTCATTGAACTTTTTTATCTCTAAGAGATAGAATCTGAGGTGACCAAACACAATGAAGTCTAGCCATGGCCTCAGAGATGTCTCCCAGGGGACAAATGAGACAATGCAGGAATGGGGGGGAGGAGAGATAAAGGAGAATGATGGAGAGGGTGAATTCAACTATGATATATTGTAAGAACTTTTGTAAATGGCATCAGTACAATAACACACACACACACACACACACACACACACACACACACACACACTTTCACTGAATAGTAGCTTGCAAAGAACCTTTTAGAACAACCAAATTGACCTCCATTTCCCTACCAGATACAATTGCTGGAAATAAAGAAGAGTGTTCGTATTTTCTACAGCACCTTGAACTAGTCTGCTGCCCAGGAGAGTGAGACACTGGCTTTACATGGCAGTGTCTACTTTAGCATTGATCCAGAATAGTAAATGAATGTACAGAAGATTCACCCAGGATGCTGGGAGGGATGAAATCAGAGAAAAGTTCAGCCTTAACTGAATTGCTTTCACTTCTTCACCTAACTACCAAGAGTCATATTCTGTTCTTTCACCATGTGCTTGACTCTGGTTTTTCCTTTCCACTCCCCTCTTCCTTAACAACATTAACTACATTAATTTTTCAGAGGAAATATTAATAGACATTTTAAACACTAGACTCCATATAACACATTGAACGTATTATTATTAATCTCTGATTAACCCTTTAACCTGTTCCTGGGCTCCAAATGCTTCACTTTAGAGTGCATTGAAATGACTCACATCTAATTATATTCCACTAAATGAAGAGATATATGAACAGGATGAGGGTAAAGACTCACCAATGCTGCATTCTCAACTGTTCACAGTAGGCTGACAGAGTGGTTCAAACAGTTAAGAGTGCCTGCCTAGCAAGTGTGAAGCCATGAGTCCAAACCCCAGTGCCACCAAAACCAAAAATATAAACAAAATCGATGGCTCACATTGTGTGAATACTGGTACCTTTCATAGGAAAATTTAACCTATATTTGTGTGTTTGGGCAATTTATCATCACCCACGCTTTGCAATTTTCTCCATAACCTGATGGAGGTACACAAACCAAAGCAGGGAAAGGGCCCTACTTCATGTATAAGACTGATTAACCAACACATTTATCTTATGAGGCAGCCACTGTATCAATACTCTATATCTGGAGAAACTAAGGCTCAGAGAAAATCACATAGTGGCAACGTGGGAGTGTCAAGATCAGAATCCCAGTCCCTATGAGTCCAATGCCCATACTCTATTGTATGATGATGGCAAATGTTTGTACCCTAACCTAAATCCCTTGGCCTTTAGAAACTGACCCTGGGATGAAGGATAAGGCAATAAAATAGCTTTGTAGTTACAGTTTAAAAGGTATACTGAACTATCCAATAATAATGGCAAACATTAAGAGTGTCTTTTATGATCTGGTGAGTATCCTGGGAGTATTATGCCCCAACAGGAACAGCATAACAGCTAAGATCTTGGACTGGAGATCAGTTTTTCCTCTGTCTCAGGGTTACCATGACTATGGATGAGATAGATACTCCTTCTAAGTATTAGTAAGTACCTTAGTACCGTGGCTCCAAACACAACAAAGGCATAATTCTGAGATGAGCACAGTTCCTCACTGAGGCCAGGATGTTCTTTTAAGCCATAAAGTACTACTCTCCTACAAATCTATGCAATGGAGATTGTCTAATCCTAAGTTAATTTAGTCAATTTAAAGTAAGCTTGAGAGAGCTAGGGACTGAAGGAAGTAAATAAAGATTGGCATGTATTCTTCTGCATCTCCCTTTTTTCCAAGATTGGACAAAATGTGGCACATTGTAAGAGACTGCTGGAGTAAATACCAGACTCACATTATTTATACTAGAAGAATGCACCGTGGGGTGGGGATGCACCATGGTGGAAGGGGCCATGATGAGGAAGACAAGGACTCTCAGCAGAGCAAAGGTAAGAGGAGATGACACTGACCAAGTGGACTGTGGCCAGAAGAGGGGAACTCAGTCTCCTGACATGTCCAGGCCTGGAAGATTTAGCCCTGGGAGCAAAGCGGGTGGGAAACAAATATTGGCTAAGAACAGGATAGAGAAACACCAAGTCCAAGAAACAACTGTGCACTTGGATATGAATAGTAAAGGCAAGAAAAAGAGGAGTGTTAGGGAGCACAGGTTCCAGGGCAATTACTAGGCTCTTTGGCCTGCTGTAAATCCTACCAGAAGAGTAATTCTTGGGGTTGGGAAGAAAATCAGGTGAAGAAGAGAGGAAAACCAACAGCAAGTAGAAGTGAGGTGAGACCATTTTGGTAGCTTTTCCTAAGGTGGCCCTACGCTATAGCCCTTCCCAGGTGGCAGGTGCCTCTTGCCTTGCAGCCAGGAGACAAAGGAGCTCCTACCAAAGGTCTGGGGGTGGGGTAGAAAATGAAGACTAGTCATATCCTGAAGCTCAGTGATATCACTGCTTGAAACTGGGCAGGGAGCTCTAACAGACCCTGGGCATCCTAGCCCCCACCACCGAACCTATAAATGGAAGCGTCATGCTGGGCCCCAGCATGATGCAGGTCTCCTTGGGGGGAGCTTTAGGTCTT